GGAAAGGGATCCCAACCTCCCAAGTTAGGCAACACTTGTTCCAGGCAAACAGTTTAACCACCTTCTTGGCTGCAAATCCAGACAAGAGGGGAAGACAGGCTACTTCAAAGAGAATGGACAACTTGGATTAAAAATGTTTCCTAGACAAGCCACTCCTGTGAAGCCAGTGCTAGTGTGGCAGCCCTCCAGTCAGTCACAAGGCATTACAGCAGCCCCTGGAAGGAAGGGGAGGCACACCTCATCAGGCCATCAGGCCTTATGAAAGTCACTAATGCAGCTCCTGGGCCTTGTGTGATGTACGTCCGAGGGCATCATCAACCTGATATACCTCACTGCTCACTCAGAGCTGGTGACTCCAGGTAAAACACTGTCAGCTGCTTGCTGTTCGTGCAAACTTTGGGAATAACACAACCAAAGTCCAGGGCTAAGTCTCTCTTGCAACAAGCCTGGCAGAACAACCCTTAGGTATACCACTGGCTCTAGAGGACCCTGGCAGAGAAGGGTTAAGTAGAAACTGAGGAGTCCTTGCACAAACCCATTGGAATAAAGAGACAGCCTTCTCTAGTAAACTACACGTTATAATTTACCATGAGAGCTGGTAGGGAATTACAGGTCCTTCCAATCTCTGCTAAAGGAGACCTCGTAGGCTACCTTCATAGATCAAAAGCGATTATTTAATGGAAACTGTCAAATGGGTGGTACAAAGAAACTTCTATGGGCTGTGGAGTGGCGTAGTGGGTAAGAACACTGGCAGCATGAACACAGAAAACAGAGTTCAACCCCCCCAGAATCTATATAAGAAGCTGGAAGTGGCCATGAACATGCCTGTAATGCCAGCACTGTGGGTGGGTGGAGACAGGAGAGTTGCTGGGCTTGTTGGCCACCAGCTTAGCCCCAGATTCAGAGACAGACACCCGTGTCAAAGGCTTACTGTACCCTTCAGTAAGGTGGAAAGTGACAAAGCAAGACACCAGATTTGGGCTCTGTGTGTGCCCTCCCAGTCAAATGCGCTTCCTATAGTGTGTGGCACATCTATGTGCCATAAAGCCCTTTTGCAATTGAAGCGGGTGGCACTGTTTGAGCTCTGTCCTAAGTACCTACGTTTCCAGAAGCACCAGAGTGAGCACAACTGCTAGGACTAACTCCTGGGGGCTCTGCATGCGAGCACCTGTGCCAACCTGCCACCTAGGATTTCTGGTTGGCAGCTTAAACCCGGGAAATGGCAGCAGTCTTGACTCTGGAAACTAAACACCAGAGGTCTTCTGAGGTGTTGGGAGGAGATGGATGCCAAGCAGCTGCTGGCAGAGCACTGGCTGACTAGGAGGGTGTGGGACGGAAGGAAGTGGCACTCCACTGTACTCACTCTGTCACTCACACTTTGCTTTATCACTGTCAGGTTACAGGCTGTCTTGGCTGCTTTTGCTGTTGCCGTGATAAAATACTCTGACAAAAGCAACTTGAGAGGGAGGATTTGAGTTCACAGCTGAGGGAAGTCAAGGCAGCAGGCGCTGGAAGCAGCTGGTCACATCATGTCCAAAGTCAGAAAGGAGCAGTGAGTGCATGCATGCTAGGGTTTAGCTTGCCTTCTGTTTTTCACACACATCCCCTGCCCAGGGAGTGTCCTCGCTGCTCACAATTTAGACAGATAGTCATAATCAAGACAATTCCCCCCAGGCATGCCCGGAGGCTGGTCTCCCAGGTGATTCCAGAGTCTTGTCAAGTTGACAACTGACACTGTCACACAGGGCGTATTCAGAATGACCAAACAAAGTGACTTCATGTTGAGATCTTGATAATATCAGAAGCACACACTTTGTCAAATAATTTGAGACGCTGTTGGTGCAGGAATCTATTAGACTCTGGAACTGTGATGTTTAACTGACTTCTCCAGAGTCCAGTCTCATACTGGCTAGCGTGGCCACATGCCAAATTCTAGGCATGTTTCTGTCTTTTGCCATCAAGGTTCTTACTGTACCCTTCAGTTAGCAATGAAGGCCTACTCATCTTTCATGAATCTTTGAAAAAGCAGAGTAATTTTTTTCTCAGGTTTGCAGCCTCTGGTTAAAACACATTAAGCGGAAAGAGAACCCATGACAGTACCTAGCCTGACCCTGAGCCTGAGTGACTCTTCTGGGCATGTGCTCTGCCTGTCTCCACCAGCTCAGGCAACCCTGGCACACCAGGCTTTCATGGGAGAAGCATCTCTAAGAAATCCATCAACAGCATTTCTGAGAGCAGAAACAGAGGCACACCTGTAATTGATGCAATGGGGATGCAGGCAGGGGGACTTTGGGCTTGGACCACATAGTGAGAACAGACCACATAAAAGAACAGCAAAGCTACTGCAGCACACTGAGAGAGAGACTCATGGCACCCTCAGAGTCTGCACGGTGCCACAACTTCACACATGGTAACAAGCCATAATAACAAGACAACAAGGAGATGATGATACAGGGAGGGGAGGGGCAGTTCCAACTCCTGCTCTGACATAATGACCTTTCTGTGTCTCTGGTCTAGATGGTGTTCTTCCTAACAAGTCCTTCCCATCACAGGAGAGGCTGCAGAGTCACCTGGTAGAGACAGATAACTGCTGGTAAGCTAGGATGGATACCAAGGAGGATGTCTGGGACTCCCCAGCAAGAGTCGGAAGTGAGGAGCCCAGACAGAAGGCACTCCATGCTATCCACCCAGGATGGAGAGTCACAAGGCCAAGAGGAGAAAGGCTATAGGCCTCAGGAAGTCGGGCCAGCAGATGGGGCTGGAGCCAGGGTGAAGACACATGGTACCTGCTAAGCCTGGTAGCAGCTTTCTCCTGGTGGGTTGTGGTCTGTGCTGAAGGAAAGGCAGGGGCAACATGTAAGGAAGTGGTCAGCAGAATCAGAAAGACAGGCCATGAGGTGCAAAGATGAAGGAGCTCTGCACAGAGCCCGGCAAGGCACTTCCTCCAGCTCTTGGGCCTCGGGTATCACTTCCATAGTAAGCAACTGCACGGTCCACACAGGGCCGGCTAAAGACTAAGTCAGGTCACACTTGAAATCACATTTCATAAACTAGAGAACACAAGCAAACTATAAGGTTGACTATTTTTACTCTTTGAAGGAACAAATCTTCAAAAAAGCTGTTTAAGCAAAAGGCCAACTTCATAAAATAAAGCAAAAGACAGGAAAACAAATCCATGAAAAGCAAAAATACTTCCCATCAATGGCGCTTTTTCTTCCAGCTGCTATAGGAAAGCCACTTTGAAAGAAATGGAATCTGATGCCACTCTACAGTACACACTTTTCCTGGGCCCAGAGTCTGCCACTGTATATACAAAATACACAGAATAGACAAAATATACAGCTGGTGGTGTGAGTTGAGGCCTGTCATGGCCAGAGCTGGGGGCCTTCTGTGACAGGCCTTCTTTATGTCAACTCCCAGCAGAGCTGGAGCCTTGCAGAAGGGCACCCAGATTCCACCACTGGGTCTGGGCCAGCAACCAGGGTTTCTGGTTCACACAGGGACAAGAGCTAATGTTAGCAGGGTCGCTGGATAAGTCTTAGGAGCCCTGTGGAGGTAACTTGGGACATGGATCACTGCAAATAGAGGTTCTTCAGGCCCTTGGGAGGACGTCTGGAGGTCATCCAAAGTGGAGACCAGGCGAGCACTGGGCCAGAGGTGAGGAAAGAGAAGGGTCAGCACAGTCTGGGTTAGGTGTCCCTGGCCTTGGGAGCAGAAATGAGAAGGTGGGGTGGAGCAGGGGTATGGAGGGGGGTTAGGTGCCGCTGGCCTTGGGAGTAGAAATGAGAAGGTGGGGTGGAGCAGGGGTAGGGAGGATGTGAATCAGGCCTTGTTCTCTAGGCGAGAGGCCACTGAGCTGGGGCTCACATAAATACTACTTCCTAGGGAGATGCCTGGCTGGTGGGGCGGGGGTGGGGCACATGGCTAATCTGGGCTTTACTTTCTTTCTGCAGAAAAGTTATGACATTCAAGCAGTCTGAGGCAGAGGGCTAACCATGCCCAGGAAGAGTAAGAGCAATGCAGACAGGAAGCCAAAGGAACAAAATGCAAAACAAGGAGAGAAATCTCTCCCTCATTTCCTCTCCTCCTCTCAAGCTATGGAGGAGTGAAGAAGGAAGGAAGGAGGTGGCGGTCTACGCACTCCCTGTCACACTCCTACCCCCACTTGGGTTTTCAGCTCACTTCACGTGACAGGAACATGATGTCACTATTTCTGTTATTTATCTGCCATTGTACAAACAGCCATCCATCCTCAGGGTCACCAGGACAAATGGGCTTTGGCTGGAGGCCTGCCATGCTCGTCAGCATCATCCTTCACCTGCCCCGCACTACTCTTCACCTGCCTAGCATCTCCATAGCAACATGGAACCTGCGGGGCTTGGGAGTCTTAGGGATGGCAGAATGGGTAGGTCCAACATCTCTGCTCTGATGACCATGTGACTTGATGCTCAGGGTATCAGTTTCCCAGAGAGGCTGTGGAAGGGGTGTGAGAGTGCCTCACAACTGACATGGCAGAAACATACAATGAGTACCTACCATGTGTCGGGCACCGTCCTTGGAGTCGAGTGTATACTATAACGCAGCCCAAGGAGGCTGCATCCTACCAAGCAGAACTAGGGGTTAGGAGGAACAAGCACAATTTTCATGTCATACTCCTTATCAGCAAGTTATTTATGAGATCTTGAACAGGTTGTATAGCCTCTCTGTGCACTCATCTATGTGTAATGCTGTCAAAGATGACATTTAAAGCCAGCACTACAGAGCAGCCTGAAGATCACTACAGAAGCATGAGGTGTGTGGCTTGCAACTGCTCCTGCCCGACCCAGCTCACCTTCTTCATTGTGGCTGTAGCAAGTAAAGTACCCATAGAACGGAGCCACCGCAGTGCCCTGAGCAAAGATGGGAGACCTGGGGGACAGCCTCAGCATCCAGAACTGGCATTCTGGAAGCAGGACTACATGCTCCACCAGCAGCATATGAGCTACAGCCATGGAGCCAGCTCCCTGCAGCAGAGACAGGCCTTGTGAGCAGGAAGAGACTGCCACCTCCATCCCTACTTAGCCACTAACAGTCAGAGGGTGTCCTGTTCAATGTAAGTCCATTCTAAGTCGTCGTCGAGGTCTTCCCCATGGCAACTGTAAAGACATCCAACACATTGTTGCTGCCTTTTGCATTTTAAAAACTATTCCAGAAATAAGGCATTGCTCACTTTTCAAGATGAAACTGAGATCACACAGCTTTCTACAATTTTTCTGATGAGTTCTGTTTGTACATCACAATCCTGAGAATGCTTCTAAAACTAAACCAAGTCAGTGTGTTTCTCCTGTAACTAAACCAAACCAGTATGTTTCCCAGGATGCTCCTTCAGTGGGCTGTAAACCATCCCTTGAAAATATGAATTACTGAATAAACCATTATTATATCTCAACATCTTTCATGACCATTTATACTTCCCCACACCCGACAACATGCCAAGCAGAACAAGCCAGCCACCATGCAAAGAGGGAGATGCTAATGCCCGCTCAGAGAGCATCTGTGACCACTGTAGGGTTTTGAAATGAAAAGTCCTGGCACTCAATTGCGACTGCTAACCCCAAGGGCAGAACACTGAATGTCTCCTGTGGATGGGCATACTCACCAAGGTCAATGAGGATGGCATGCTGCTGGGAGGTCAGTTTCTTTAAGAGTTCTTTGTAGGGCACATCCTTTGGCTGCTGTTTACTGGGAAAGGGATGTTTAAGGAGGAACTGCTCAGCTAGAAATTTCCAGATCTCACCCCGGTGATGACGTGGCACACCTTTAACAGAGTGGAAAGTGTTAAACCAGACTTTAAGCACAGAATTCAGATCATTGATAACAAATGAATTGTGTCATTTTTCATTGCTGCAAATTATCTGTATGTGTACATGTGTGCAGAGCCATGTGAGTATGGGTACACGTGCACTTGGAGACCAGGAGACAACCTTGGGTACTGTTTCTCAGGTACCCATCCACTTTATTGGTCACTCACTGGGCTGCATTCCCCAAGTAGGCTAGACTAGACAGTGAGCTCCAGGGGATCTGCCTATCTTTGCCTCTCAAGCACTGGGATTACAAGCATACACAGTCACTCCCAGCTTTTGACTGTGGGTTCTGGGAACTGAACTCAGGTCCCCATGCTTGTGAGGCAACACTTTACTGACTGTGCCATCCCTCAGTCTCCAGTTAATGAAATTCTTATTCCATTATGAATTAACTACACAGGAAGGAACAGAAATGTGTTCAATTCCCTGCCTCCATCCCACTTGCACTCCCCCCCCCCCTTAGCCTTGTTCCTCTTGCCTTCACCTTACAAAAGATACGTTATGATCTGACCAGGTTACATGCTACAAAAGACAAACCTGTGAATACGGTGGTAGGAATCCTGACCCCACCCAACCTAAAGCCAACTACGGATGCTCTAGGGAAATGAAAGATGGATACAAATGTCTCAGAAAAGGAAAAGAATCAAAGCAAGATAGAGCTCAGGTGACAGAGAGCTGGCTTTTTGTCTCTCAGCAACCAAGATTTCACAGCCCCCTTCAAGTAAGCCAAACCTTAAAGATGAAGGGAAAGGAAAGAAAACCAACCAGAAGGAAGTTATCTTGAGTGGGTCAGGATACCTTGGACAGTTGTTGGATTTTCCCCACCTCGTATATCAACTTGGGAGTAACGTAAAGAAGGCCTAGCTAAGTGACTGCATCCCATGCACTCTCTAGAAGTTTATCTTAGCATTAACTTGATGACTCTGAGCAATGAATGAATAGTGGGCTTCTAAAAGGATACACCCATTTTCCAACCCTGGGAACCTCTAGTGGCCTTGTTTCTGCAGATGTAGCTAAAGTGAGGACTTATGATGCCATTATCATGATTATAATCTGGACTCTACCTTGAGACAAGGGATCCTAACAACAGCGCCCAGAGAAGGAGTTGAAAACAGAAGCCAGTGTGTCTATGGAAGCAGAAGAGGAGAGCCCGTGTCAAGAAATGGGACAGCCAGCAGAAGCTGGAAAAGCCAGGTACAGTGGAGCTGACACCTGGACTTGGGACTTCAGAACTGTGAGAGAAAAAAGTGTGTGTGTGTGTGTGTGTGTGTGTGTGTGTGTGTGTGTGTGTGTGTGTTAACCTTTAAAATTAAATTTATTTGACAATTTTGTACATGTGTACAATGAATGTATTACTCTCCTCCTTCCTCCCCACTTTTTAAAGTTTCACGCACTATATTTTCATCATATTCTTCTCTTCCAACTGCTTCCAGAACCTCCTCACCTCCCTAACTTTATGTCTTTGTCTCTTTCAAAGTAAAACACACCCCTGAAATAAAACAAGAAAAAAAAAAAGAAAAATGATAAAAACTACCAAGCCAAAACAAACAAACGAAAAGCACACGAAAAACTCTCTGAACCTATGGAGTCTGTTTTGGTTGGTCAATTACTTGGGAACATGGGGCCTGCCCTGGAATTTGGTTGACACTCTGTTGGAGAAAACGGAGTTTTCCTGTGCCAGCAGCTACCAGTAGCAAATAGCATGTTGGTTAGGGGTGGGATTCCATGTCCACTTCCACCTTCCAATACTAGAATTTTGTGTGACTTGAACTTGTGCAGGTCTTGAAACTTACTTTAAATAAAAAGTGTGTGTGGGGGGGGGATGTGTGTGCGCATGTGTGCCACCATGCTTGTGTGGCAGTCAGAAGACAATTCTCAAGAGCTGGTTCTCTTCCACCTTGAGGAACCTGGAGACTGAACTCAGTTCATCAGGCCTGCACGCAAATGTCTACCCACTGGACCTTCTCACTGACTAACTTGTGTTGTTTTAGTTACCAAGTCTGTAGTTATTCACTACACCAGCAACAGGAAACTAACATATCCTAACAGCTGCTTCCCTACATCAATGCTATCTTTTTTCTCCTTCCTTACCATCCCTGCTCAGATCTATCTTAGATGTGTGTCTGCACACACATGCATACACTCGAGCACATACACAGAGCAAATCTGTAATACCACAAACTCTGACTAAAAGCAAACAGTGAACTAGATCATAGTTAAGTCAGCATGAGTGATTTATAGAGGGGCTTTTGCACCAAATACTTTCTGTCAAACTGGAAATTTTTCCCAAGTTAGGAGATGTCCAGTTTCCTCTTATTACTAAGTCTTTCCCCTTATCTTATCAGGATTGATTGTGAGGAGGAAGAGAAGAAATCTGGCCATGTTACCAGAGAATACCAGACACTCTCATGTTGCAGAGTTAGCCGAGCTGGAGACTGAAAGCAAGAAGTCATGTAGTTAGATGCAGTGCTTTTTTGCTCAGAATGTCCCCCCACACACACACACCCCCACACACCCCCACACACCACGCTCAGCTTTGCTTACTCCTAACTTAAGAGGAAATTTGGTCATGGAAGTCCAGCAGGCAGGGAATTCTGGCTAAGGCAGAGACTGTTCACCCAGCTCATGTGTGAATAACTATTTTGACTAATGTGTAGAGTAATATATACTTACTGTTGTAAAGGGAAAAACTCTGACAATGCAAAGGGAATAAAGACGAAAAGCAAACCTCCACCCATAACCAGAGTGGACATATACTTCCAACATTCAAAAGAGAAAGCTTCAGAAAGTAGGGAGGAGGAGAAGCCCTGCTGCTTGGTTTAGTAGGACAAGCTAGTACATGGGGCTGTGCCAACTGATCCAGGAGGTGTGTTCGTCTACCTCTAACCTAGACATCTGCAAATGCATTTGTGAGAGTTTCTCTATGTGAGCAAGACCATGAGAACTGCACTTCTCTCATGTGGAAACGCCCACTGTGTTGTTTCCCAGGAATATGCATGGGATGGTCACATGGCTGGGTCACTTTGTTTTGGTTGTAGCTACTAAAAAAATAGCATAATAAGCATTCTTATTGTAGCAATCTGTGGCTGGTTAACTTTTAGTTTCTGGGAATTGCATTGCTGGATTGAAGGTAAGAGGAGTTTGCATCCGAACCATTCTGCTGATTGCTTAATGGCCACTTCAAAATAACATCCTGAAACAAACAGCCACTTGCTTCTAGGATTCTGAACTTGCTGCCTTTCAAGCAATCATCTGATGCACATCAAACTTTGAGTTACTTAATATTCCGAGGAATTCTTTCTTTTCCCAAGTTGACTCCTTAATCCTGCTACTCCCATCTCACATTAAGTTGGAAAAATTTCTAAGTCCCTATTGGGAGGAAAAGCCTCATCAGTTACATGAGGACTGTCCTCTGTTTCACAGTCTCTGAGGTGACTTAGCTTCTGCTTGAACGGTTGAAGTCATGGTTTTGGTTTAGTATTATTTAAAAAGTCTAAGGTATGATTAAGCAGTGGCCATTTGTTTGAAGCTGCTAAGATTTTGAGTGTTGAGACTGGATGACGGAGCCTCTGACTGTTTACATTCCTTCAGGGAATGACCAAGTCAGAGAAGTCAAAGGGAATTCTAGACAGCCCCGGCTTACCGAAGTCTATGACATATCCCTAAAGCCCTGCCCAATTCCACCCCACAGGGTCCAGTTGCCCTCAGCTTATCCCCTTACTACATGGACTAGGAAATAAATGCCCAGGTGCCAGGCCTCTGAAAAGCTCAAATATTTGGAGCAGCTGCCAGAGGCAGGCAACTGTTTCTGAGGTACCACTTCAGAGCATCACCTAGTTAACTGGGAGGAGGGAGAGAGATGGGTGCATGCATCTCTGCTTCTTAACTTTTCAAAGCAGCTGACTGCAACCACTCACCATGAAGGTCACACTGCAGCAGACACGATGGGTGCAAAATTCATCAGTACTACGGGACAGTGTAAGAATGACAGTTTGGGCCAGGCTTCTCCTGCTGCCAGCCAGGAAGTAGAAATGCAGAAAGGTGAAAAAAACCTACCCAGGTTCACACTGGAAGCTGTATAGAACATGCCTCCAGCCCTGTCTCACATATACCTGGGACTAGAGAACAGCACTCTGAGGATGGCTCAACCAAAGGCAGCTTGGCATGGTGATGAAAACTACTGCAAGCTGAGGGCCCAAGGCCACTGTCACTCAGGTATCCGTAGGAAGGAAAGATCAAAACTAGCAATAACTACCCGAGTACTAAGACATATGCTGTCAAAGCAGAGTAAAAGGTTTTGTTTATTTACTTATTTATTTGCATGAGTTTGTTTGAATGTGTGGGATTGTGGGGGTAGGGGTGGTGCATGCACACATATCTAACGGCAAAAGTTGATACCAAATGTCTTCCTCAGTAGTGCTCCATTTCATTTTTTGGACTCAGAGGCTCTCATTGAGTCTGGGAGTCTTGGTTTAGCTAGCCAGCCTGCCTAGGGAATCCCCATCTCTGCCTCTTGAGTGCTGGACTTATGGGTAGTTATCACACATGTTTGTTGTACATGGGTTCTGGGGATGTGAACTGCAGTCCTCATACTTGCACAGAAAGTGTTTTAGCCACTGAGTTATCTCTGCAGCACAGTATAAGGTTTTTAAGAATGTCTAAAAGGGATGGAGTGACAGCTCAGTGGCTAAAGATGCTGGCCACTCTTTCAGAGGACCTGGGTTCAATTCCCAGTACTGATATGGTAGCTAATAACTGTGTTTAAGTCCAGTTCCAGGGGAAACTGACACCCTTTTCTGACCTTGTTGGGTACCAAACATGCACTTGATATACAGACATACATGTAGGCAAAACACCCATATACATAAAAAGTTAAAACACCCACACACCATGATAGAAAAGTTGCTTAGTTCTATTAGTCCTCTTAGCAATGAGTAACACAGATAGGCTGCTTCCTATAGCAGTTACAGCCACAGGAAACCCTGCAATAATGAGTGTTTGCACCTCTCATTCCAATAATGAGTATTCAGAACGAGCTCAGTAGCAGTAAGCACAGATTACTCTCAGAAGCACCCACTCACACCAATGTTCACCAAGATCCCCTTCAAGAGAAATCATTATTGTTTACTTGAACATATATAGTGAGAATGAATCAGAGCAAAACAAAATGAGAGGCAGGGGGCAGAGGGAGGGCGATGGGTGAGAGGAACAACTGAGAACAAAGTAAATGACACATTCATGAAAATGGCAAAACCTATTACTTAGTACACCAAGCTAATTAGTAACAACAACAACAACAACCACAACAACAACAGACAAACAAGAGAAACAGAATGACAAAGTACAGGCTCACATGTTTTTTGAGAATTATTGTGACAAATGGCTGGAAACATTTCCAGATGTCATCTCAAGTTCTGTCTCACCTCTTCAGGGACAAAGCAAATTCAGACTGGCAGAAGGCAGTGACAGGCGCCCATACACCCCCCTCCCCGTCCTCCACCAGCCTTCCAAGCCATCTAGGACAGCAGACTCATGTGCCACGTTCTAGGGTTTCAGCTCACTTGTTTATTCTTCACAACCACCATCACCATCCACATCCTACACATGTACAAACTAAGGCTCAGCAGTTAGGAGTATTTGCTGCTCTTGCAGAGGACCTGAGTTTGAGGTCCATATCAGGTAAGTGACAACCACTCATAGCTGTGCCTCTGGGGACCCACTGCCTCTGATGTCAGTGGGCACTCACATGCACAGACTCACACACATACTCATAATTAAAAATAAAGTACACCTTTTTTTTTTTTCCCCTGAGACAGGTTATCTCTATGTAGCTTTGGAGGCTGTCCTGGCACTCCCTCTATAGACCAGGCTGGCCTCCAACTCATAGAGATCCGCCTGCCTCTGCCTCTGCCTCCCAAGTGCTGGGATTAAGGGTGTATGCCACCACTGCCAGGTGAAATACATCTTTTTAAACACATTTAAAAACCAAGTGAGGCTCCCTCAGGTTGAGTCTTTGCTTAAGACTGCACTACAAAGTGCTTATCTGGATGGGGTCCAAACCCAGATCCCTTGCCTAGAAGGTGAGCTGAACACTCTGTTGTTTCCCTAGGATACCCAACCAGCAAGAAACCACAGAGTTTATTTTTAGTTTCCTATTTAATTTATCATATCATTTATCCAGCTCACAGGCAACTAAGCAGGGTGTGTGTGTATATATATATATATATATATATATATATATATATATATATTTTCTGGTCCCTGTTTTTACGGGCATTTTCATTAATGTAATTGAGATCATGAAAGGTGACGGAACCCACATCAATCAACTAGACATCTGGAAACAAGATGAAAAGGCATGACTGCCACAAAAATTAGACTTGCAAATATCTTTGTCCCACTCTTCCAGTCATCACAGAGGGTGTGACTGGTTAGACAATGATGATAACACTTACCTTGCCCAACAGCTGAGTGCATTTTTTCCATGTCAAACTTAATTTTGGATCTTCCTGGAGTGCTAAGCATCTTTTCCCACACTGTGGTTACTTCTTTAAGACAAGGAGTGATTTCTTCATAATCAAGCTTCAGGCGTTTGTTCAGCAAATCATTCTCAGAGGCTGGAAAAGATGAGGGCCAGTGAGTAGAAAGAAGCTCCAGGGCTGCTAGCTGTCATGACCCCACACGGCCTCTGCTCACCACTGCTGTGATGCCAATAGTACAGGTCAAATTGGGGCCACCTGCTTTCCTCCTTTTAATGCTAACAAGCATCTCTATCCACACCACCCTAACTGTGTGCCATCCAGAGACTAAAGGTGGTGTAAAAAAGGTAGCCGAGCAAGCCAGGTGAAGCCAGTCAGTAAGCAGCACTTCTCCATGGCTTCTGCTTCAGTTCCTGCCTCCAGGTTCCTGCTTTGAGCTCATGTCCTAGTCTTTCCTGGTGATGGATGGTAAGCTGTAAGTCAAATAAACCCTTTCTTCTCCAAGTTGATTTTTTTGTTGTTGTTGTTTCATCACAGCAATAGAAAGCCAACTAGGACAACGTATCAGTCCTAACAGCACCAGTTGTGTCCCTGGGAAAACCCACAGTCCCAGCTGTTAAGTGTCAACAATACACACAGGCAGACTGAGATGGTGGAGTTAACTTCTCTCCAGGATGAAAGGCTTCCAGAGTAGTAATTAGTACCGGATCATATACTCAAAAAGCAGAAAGCTGGCTTATCCAGAGAAAGCTTTTGTCATGTGTGTTCCTCTATTTTATTTTCCAAAGGGCATGCAAGCCAGCTTGGACTCTGGTCAATTTCAGGAGCCACATACACCTGCAACTTCAACTTCTTTTAAGAAGTGTATGAAAAGGTAGGAGAAAGAGAGGAGAGGAGAAGGGGAGGGGGGAGGAGAACATGACAGATCAGGAAGGTCCATTTGGGGTAAGATCAAGGGGAGCAAGAAAAGAGATCATTTAATAGAGGGAGTCATTATGGGTTTAACGAGAAATCTGGTATTAGGGAACTCTCCAGGGATCCACAAGAATGACCCCAACTAAGAATCTAATTAGTAGGGCAGAGGCCACCTTAATTGCCCTTCCCCTATGATGAGATTGATGACTACCTTAAATGCCATCATAGAGCCTTCATGTAATAGCTGATGGAAGCAGAAGCAGAAATCCTCAGCTAAGCACTGAGCCGAACTCCTGGAATCCAGTTGTAGAGAAGGAGAAGGGATGAGCAAAGGAGTCAAGACCGTGCTGGGGAAACTCACAGAAACAGCTGACCTGAGCAAGTGGGAGCTCATGGACCCCCAACCAGACATCTAGGGAACCAGCACAGGACTGAACCAAACCCCTGAATGTGGGTGTCAGTTGGGAGGCCAGAGCAGCCTATGGGGCCTCTGGCAGTGGAAACAGTATTTATCCCTAGTGCATGACTGGACTTCTGGAGTCCATTCCCTATGGAGGGATACTCTCTCAGCCTAGATACATGGGGGAGCACCTAGGTCCTGCCCCAAGTAATGTGACAGACTGCGATGATCCCCCATGGGAGGCCTCATCCTCCCTGAGGAGTCGGGGTGTTGGTGGGCTGGGGGGCTGGAGGGTGGAATGGGAGGACAGGATGGAGAGAGAACTGGGAATGGTATGTGAAATAAGATAGCTTTTAATTTAAATAAAAATTAATAAAAAGTGTATGAAAAAAAGAAAACTTAAAGAATAATGGTTCCGTGTACACAGTGTACCCTCTGATTGGTTCCTGTCTGACCTACCTTCTGTACTCAATGAGAAAGTTCTGCCCACCCAACTCAAATCAATTTGCTACTGTTGATTATTTCTCAGTAACACAGGTTTGCACAAACTAATGGCTTAATGCTTCCTATATTAAATTTAGCAAGTTGATTATGAACATAATCTTGAGCCGTACAGAGGTAAGATAAATGAACTCAAGCAGTAATGCTCCAAGACCACCAGAATAAACACTGCCAACAAGCCTGCTAAAGCAGCCAGTGGGCACAACACAGCCTCTTGGCAAGGTGACCAAGGCAACCCGGCGTACACCCAGCTGCTCATGCTGATCTGTCTAGTCATCCCTGGCAACACAGCAGGCACTTTGCTTTAGGGGTACACTGATTCTACTTCACCAATTATAGTCATGACTTCTACTATTCCCAAGAGCAGTCAGTCTCATACTCCTTTTGTAAGTATACCTTGGTTTTCATTTTACCTGGCCACCTCCAAAGACTGGCTGAAAAACACTAAGTATTAGGACCCACATAGTGAGCCTTACTGCCTTTTCAATTTCCAACAAAGATCTCCAAATATATAACCATTACCTATCTGATGCCACACTTTGTAATGCTATGACCATAAGATGTTTTTATTATTATTACCATCAGTACTCCCCAGCGTGTGTGTGTGTGTGTGTGTGTGTGTGTGTGTGTGTGTGTGTGTGTGTGTGTGTGTGTGTGTGTGTGTGTGTGAAGCTATAATATATACACAAAGGGCCCATAAGGTAAAACAAACAAACAAACAAAAAAACATTAAAAATAAAAATAAATAAATTCCCTGACTAAACAGAGAAGCTTCCTGCTGCAGTAAATGAGAACAAATATAGAGATCCATAGAGAGTGAGAGAGCTTGGACACTTACTTCTCAACAGGATGTCTCCATCAATTCCTTCCCCTCAGGGCTCAGGGAACCTTACTGAAGAGGAGGCAGACAGATTGTAAAAGCCAGAGGGGAAGGGGAACACCAAAGAAACAAGGCCTTCTAAACATATCAGGACTGCACATATGAACTCACAGAGACTGTGGCAGCATGCATGGGGCCTGCATGGGTCACTGCCAGATGGGTTCAGTGCTGAGAGAAGTGGACAAAAGCCTCCATTCCTAACCCAGAAGCTATGTCTAATTGATAACCACCTGCAAATGAAAGATCAGTTTCCTCCAATGGCTTCTCACTGGGGATACACATCACTTTTAAGGGCAGACCCCATACTCAGGAGTAGGTGAACAACACAAAAAGAACTCCGGGTTATTTTTGGATGTTCTTTGCCTTAACAAATATTTTTTAGATGCCTGCTTTTAGAATTACCTTCAAAAGTACACAAGAAAAAAGGACTAAGAATAAAGTAGGAAAAAGCTTAATACTGACCTGTCAAAAACTCCCCTTCCTGTACCCCAACTGCTCAGAGCACTCTGACGGAACAACCCATTCCCAACTTTGATACCCTCAGAAATGGAACACTGGCTTCATTTCTAAGCACCTGTTGGACTCCTGTCACATCAGAAGGTATTATTCCTTCAGTTCACTGCTTTCTGACCAAAAGTAACATCTATGTTGACTCTTTATCACTTTGCATTTCATCAGTTTGCACCTTTCTCAGCAGTAGGAGCCGTGTTCTTTGTATCTGGTTATTCTGTAACTCACAGATGCCTGATCATGACAAGAACATCCATCTCACTGTGACACTAGCAAAGAAGAGCAACAGAGTTCTAACCAGCAGGGCCTCATGGGACATAACACATTCTGAGAGCATATTCATACGATCTGGTGTCTTAGTTATTTTCAGCTCTATTCAAACTTCAGGGTCCTTATTAAAAGACAAAACCTATGGCCAAAGATGATGCTCAATGAAACACACTAACTTTGAAACTGCCTTAAGCAATGTCACCATAAGTGAACCTCTTGCTACAGGAGTGTTCAGAATTCCCATTCAAAATCTTTAGGACTTCAAATCCAGGTGGCGCTTTATACCCCAGAACCCACTTGTTTCCCATAGGGAACACATATGTAGATGCATAAGATACTCTGAAAATGGCATCTATTGATTCAAGTCTTGAAATGAAACAGGAAACAAACACAACCTAAACTTCCTAAGTTCCTGTCATATTTTAATAACAATGGTTATGTTAGGATAATCTTTTTGTACACTGTGAAGATGTGTCTCTGCCAAGGCACCTTCTGATTGGTTAAGTAAAAAGCCAAAGGGTCAATAGTTAGGCAGAAGAGGTTAGGCAGGACTTCTGGGAAGAAATAGGAACTCTGGGAAGAAGAGAGGTGGGATTCACCAGCAAGACCCAAAGGAGGAGGAGAGATAACGAGCCATGTGGCAGAATGTAGATTAATATAAACTGGTTAATTTAAGTTATAAGAACTAATTAGGAACAAGCCTAGCTAAGTCTGAGCTTTCATACTTAATAAGAAGTCTCTGTGCCATTTTTTGGGAGCTGGTGTGAAGAGGGATCAATCCGAAGTCCGTATGGCTAATGTTTTCTTTATTCAGATAACACCAGCCAAGCACAAGCCAAAGCGGGCCAGGGGCATCAAGGCAGCCAGGCCAGAGAGAAGGGAGAAGGGAGAAGAGGGTCTCCATGTGTGCGTGGTCCCTTAAGAATCCTTCCCGAGTCACCTTAGACTTCCCTTCACCACGCCCTTACTCGGGTGTTCCAGCACACCTGTCTGGGCTACTAGGAGGCGGGGCTACAGTGTCTCCCTACACTGGTGGTCCAAAGAAAGTCCACCTACAATTGGTATCCATACAGGCAAAGCTAATTTTTTTTTCAGTAACTTATTAAACAGCCACATAAAATGAAGTTATATACCTTAAAGATTACATAGGATCAATTTATTATCAATATTATTGCTGGGGATAAAAAAGGAAAAAAAGAAAAAAGAAAACTCATAATCCACCACAAAACTACCATCACAACAAAACAGATGAACCAACCAACCAACCAACCAATAAAAACCACTTCTGAGGGTTAGAGATTAAAAGGTGCCTGCATTTAAGAAGTTACAGACATGGTGTTTATGATGCCACGCTGGAATACGTAACATAGTAAGATTCCCTTTAAATGTCTGGAAAGTTAGTGGTGTCAACATTACTTTGAAAAAGTAAACAGACATGGCAAGAATCCATGTATGCTAGGTCACCTTAATTGTTGTTTTTAACACTGTATCCTGTGTGCAAGGATCAACTAAGAACATCAGTTCTGATCAGCTTCAACCTCCAAACCAACCTTGCAGCTTCTGATTCTCCTTCTCCATCCTGAGCAGCAGTATCTGCTGCAGAATAGCCTTTTTCCACAGCTCTCGAAGCTCTCGAGATGTCTTCTTCTTTTCTTCTGGTACAGGGCCAAATGGTCCATCTTCACGCACTGGCTCTAATGGGGATCGTGGAGGGAGCTCTCCCAGCTCTGAATAATCTGGAAACAAAAAAAAGGGACAATACAGGGTAGCATTTCTTTCTTTTTAAATTCATTCTCTCTCTCTCTCTCTCTCTCTCTCTCTCTCTCTCTGTGTGTGTGTGTGTGACACAGCTTCTTTTCTTTTCTTTTTTTTTCTTTCTAAGACAGGGTTTCTCTGGCTTTGGAGGCTGTCCTGGAACTAGCTTTTGTAGACCAGGCTGATGTCGAACTCAAAGAGATCTGCCTGCCTCTGCCTCCCGAGTGCTGGGATTAAAGGCGTGCGTCACCACTGCCCGCCTTTGGTCTATTTTTCAACAACAAAAAGTATGTATACAAATGCTTTACCAACTCAGAAGTTTCTGCTCATTATTTAAGACACAACATCACCAGATGCAAAATTTATGTTTGGGGGCCAACAAGATGGCTCAGCAGGTAAAGGTATTTGTCACTAAGGTTGGCAACCTGAGTTTGTTCCTGGACCCACACACACACGAAGGAAGGAAAGAACTGATTCCCACAAGTTGTCCTTTGACCTTCATATGAGTGCTATGGCATATGCATACTTACACTCCCGCCCCCGCATACACAAACAGATAAATGCAATTTAAAAATTATGTCTTAAAATGTATCACAATAAGTTACATATGAGTAACAAACATGAAATAAATGAGCCATTAAACTGAATCTCCTGCTGAGATCCATGAGTGCACACAGAAGCACAAAATGCTTGATCTCTTCTAATAACCTGCCTATTTGAACTAAGAATACTGGGTTGTAACTCGGCTAGGAACAAGGAAGACTCCTAGTGGTTCAGGCTGCTGGGTCTTTAGTCCAGTGCAGTTTCTCAGTAGGGCTGTCTACAGAGGCTATGAAGTACCAGCTTTCCAAGAAACTAGATGTGCAAGATTGCAAGCACTGTTTTGTAGTGAGAATGATGCCCTTCCTAATGTTCTCTGCTTTTGCCTACTTGTAAGTCATTGGTGCAGTTTGTTGGGTGATACAAAGAAGCTTGTCTGATATTTATAAAAGCCTTATGAAAGACTTCAAATTGTAACCAATCAGAAGAGATGGGGAAGGACATCATCAAAGGGAAAATCTACCAATAAAAGGACACTGTAATTCTAACATCTATGTACCAAACACAAGAACACCAAGTCAATAAGAGAAACACTACTACAGCTTAAATCACATATTAAGCCGTACTCACGGATAGTCGGAGCCTTCAATAGTCTACTCTCACCAATAGACAGGTCAAATAGAGGAATACTGGACCTAACTAATGTTACAATTTAAATGGACCCAAGATATTTACATAACATTTCACCCAAACATAAAAGAATATACTTCCTCCTCAGTACCTCAAGGAACTTTCTCCAAAACTGAACTGATACAAAGCAAGTCTCAACAGATTCGAGAAAGTTGACATAACACCCTGCATCCTGTCTGACCACCATGGATTAAAACTGGATACCAACAATGGAAAGTCCACAAACTCATAGAAACAGAACAACTCTCTACTGAATAAAAAGTGGGTCAGAAATTAAGAAAGAAATTAAAAACTTTCTAAAACTGAGTGAAAATGAATACACAGCATACCCAACTTTATGAGATACAATGAAGGCAGTTCTAAAAGGCAAGTTCATAGCACTGCTATGTTAAAAAACTGGAGAGATCTCAACAGCATACCTGAAAGATCTAGAACAGAGAGAAGAAATCAAGCCCAAAAGGAGTAGATGGCAAGAAACAATCAAACTCGGAGCTGACATCAATGAAATAGAAACAGTAATAACAAAACAATACAAAGAGTCAATGAAACAAAGAGTTGGTTCTTTGAGAAAAATCAGTAATATTGAGAAACCCTTATCCAAATTTACTATAAGTCAAGAGAGAAGATCCAAATTAACAAAACTAGAGGTGAAAGGGGGGCGTAACAACAGATACTGAAAAAATCCAGAGTATCATAAGCACACACTTTAAAAAAAGCTGCACTCCACCAAATTGGAAAATCTAAAAGAAATGGGTAGTTTTCTTGATAGGTACCACTTACCAAAGTAGATCAAGATTAAATAATCAATGTAACAACTAACACAAGTAAAAAACAGAGCTATAACCCCTGGTAAAATGTAAATAGTTATTAAGAGTCTCCCAATCAAAAAAAGGTCCAGGACCAGATGGTTTTAACACAGGATTCTACCAGATTTTCAAAGAAGAGTTAATGCCAATACTTCTCAAATTACTCCACAAAGTGGAAACAGAAGGAGCATTGCCCAATTTGTTTTATGAGGCCACAGTTACCTTCATACACAAACTACATAAAGACCCAACAAAGAAAGAGAATTACAGATCAATTTCCCTTAGGAAAGTAGATGTAAATATTTTCAATAAAATATTTGTAAACCTAATCTAAGAACATATAAAAAAGGCCATCCACCATGATCAGGTAGGCTTCACCTCAGAGATGCAGGAATAGTAGTTCAACATACTATTGTTAATGTAATCCTCCATATACACAAACTGAAAGACAAAACCACATGATCATTTGATTAGATGCAGAAAAGGCCTTTGACAAAATCCAATACCCCTTTCATGAGAAAAGTCCTGGAGAGATTAGGGATACAAAGGACATACCTCAACCTAACAAACATAGTTTACAGCAAGCCTATAGCCAATATCAACCCAAATGGAGAGAAACTCAAAAGCATCTCCACTAAAATCAGGAACAAGACAAGGGTGTCCACTCTCTCAGTATCTATTCAATATAGTATTTGGGAAGTCTTAGCTAGAGCAATAATGCAACTGAAGGAAACCAAGGGGATACAAATTGGAAAGTAAGAAGTCCAAGTGCTTTTACTTGTAGATGATATGAAGTTATAAGTGACTTCCAAAATTCCACCAGGAAACTCCTACACCTGATCCACACTTTTAGCACAGTGGTTGGCTACAAAATTAACTCACTAAAATATATACAATAGACAAACAGACTGAGAAAGAAATCAGGGAAACAACTTTTCACAATAGCCTCAAATAATATAAAGTATCTTGAGGTAACTCTAAGCAAGCCAAGTGAAAGACATATAATAAAAACTCTAAGACACTGAAGAAAGAAACTGAAGACGACATCAGAAGATGGAAAGAGCTCCCATGCTCTTGGATCAGTAGAATTACTATAGTGAAAATGGCTTCCTACCAAACACACCCTACAGATTCAGTGCAATCCCCATCAAAATTCCAACACAACTCTTCACATATCTTGAAAGGACAGTTTATAGTTTCACATGAAAACATAAAAATCCCAGGATAGCTAACATAATTCTGAGTAATAAAGGAACTGTGGGAGGTATCATCATCCTTGACCTCAAATTGTACAACAGCTATAGTAATAAAACACCATGGTATTGACACAAAAACAGACACACTGACCAGTGGAATAGAATTGAAGACCCAGACCAAAATCCATACACCTATCGACACCTGATTTTTTAAAAAAAAGCCAAAAGTGCACACTGGTCTAACTGGATGTCAGCATGTAGAAGAATGTAAATAGATCCATACTTATCACCCTGCACAAAACTCAAAATAGATCAAAGACCTCAACATAAAACCAGATAAAACACTGATAGAAGAGAACGTGGTGAACAGCCTTCAACTCATTGGCACAGGAAAAGACTCTCTGAACAGAACACTGTTAGCTCAGGCACTAAGATCAACAATTAATATAAGTGGAACTTCATGAAACTGAAAAGTTTCTGCATGACAAAGGACACCATCATCTGGGCAAAATGGCAGCCTATAGAATGGGAAAAGAGTTTTACCAACTACATGTTCAGTAGAGGGCTAATATTCAAAATACAGAAAGAACTCAAGAGGCTAAATACCAAGAAAACAAATAACCCAATTTAAAAAACCGTACAGATCTAAAGAGAATTCTCACAAAAGGAAACTCAAATGGCTAAGAAACATTTAAAGAAATGTTCAACATCTTTATTTACCAGGGAAATGCAGATCAAAACTACTTTGAGATTTCATTTTATACCCATCAGAATGGCTAAGATCATAACAACAAATGACAGCTCATGCTGGTTTCTTGCAGAGTAAGGGGAACACCCATCCATTGCTTGTGGGAGTGCAAACTTGTACAGCCACCATGGAATCCCAAACACAAACAACATATATAAGAGGATCCCAGAAAAGGGAACCAGATAAGCCTGGAACATCCTGGGAAGATTGAGCAGAAAAGAAAGAAATCAGAGGGAGAGAACATAGCAAGGCCCTGGAGAGCATGCAATATCAGTAACAAGGGACTGAGCTATAGCTCTTTAAAAACAATTTTATTCTTAAATTATATAAACTTTATCTATCATCTATATATCTCTTGATCTACCTATCATCTATCTCATTGAGATCTACAGAGATAGGTGCATATTTAATACACACATATCTTAATAAGAAACATCACAGACTGAGTGTTAATCTTCCAGCAACCAAACATCCATCCACTTCAGCCCAGAACAATGGTGAAATAAAACTAAGTTCTGTCCCCAAGGTGATAGCTGAATGAACCCCTTTTCAAACAGTGTCAGGTGTGGTTGAAGACAGGTCAACAGAGGTGACAAGAGTTCAGAGGGCCATTAGTGATGAAAGAGCCAACCCTAACTGAGTGCTTCTGTGAAGTTGGGGGCAGTGGAATGCTGCGTCCTGAAACCTAAGAAGGGCATCTGCCAAGGCCAGGGAATCATGTGAAGTACAGCATGGGCAAAGCAGCAGAGAGAATCAGAAACCATAAATAGTTCCACCAGAGGAAGAAGGGGTGCACACAGATTATAAGAAACAGGTCAAGGTGGAAACCTGAAGGGCCGCCTGTTAAGGAAGACCCCTACCCTCAAACCCATGAAGGGAAGACGTGAAAAGATGGTGTGCCACAACTGGGCCAGAGAGTCAGGAAGCAGGAACCAGATGGGGTTAGCTGACTGATACCCACAGCTGAGTAGGCCCTCAGCTTTGATCTACAAGGAGTTGTA